CATCTATATACACTCATCTATATACACTCATCTATATACACTCATCTATATACATTCACCCACACATCTACCTGTAGATGTGTGGGTGAGTGTATATGTGTCAGTATTATTGCATGCAATTAAGCACCCTTCCTTAGCAATATTAAATGATAATTGCTGAACAAAAATAGTTTTCTTTGATGAGTCTTTTTATGGGCTTAAACTTTGTTCTTTCAATTAATAGTTTGTTTGCCTATTATTTAGCAAAACAAGATGTTATTCTAAATTAATTGAGCCAAATAAAGGGTTTTTTTTGTTTTCTCGATGCTTTTTGTACATTTATTTTAATGACATTGTGTTGTTTTAAAGTAGATTCAGAATCACCAAGACATTTTGCAACACTCGATTATATAGAGAGTCCTGAAGAAATATTCCAAAAGCGCAGCAGTGATAAAGAGGTAATCTTCCTGTTAGAGATAATATTTTCACAAAATCAATATAGTAGATGAAAAGTGGAACAATATTTGATCATAAGCAAAACTTCCAAGTTGACATTTATTAATTGCCCTGACAATGTAAGATTGGGATATATTTGTAAATAAATCAACAGTTGCACCTGAAAGAGTGCTGAAGAACAGAGTACTAGAGGAAACAGCTGATTTTCATCACAAGGTTTGGCTATCATTGGTAACCAAGACAAAATTGAGTGCAATATTGTTCACTTGGAAGTAAGCCTACAGGGATTGGCCTCAAAGTAAGACTTAATCAGTCCAGCAAAGTTTTGGAGTGGTTGTCATTGTTATCCTTCCCAGTTTGGTTGTCACGCTCACCAATCACACAAGCCCACATCTTTTTCTGTTGCTTTGTATAGGAAAGTTAGAATTGCATGGTGAATGGCCTCTTGAAGCACCCGTGGTGACCATAGTTCAGCTCTAACCATAGGTATCTGCAATAGGGGTAAGGAGGGGGAAGTGACAAAATAAGCTGATGTCACAAAATGAAATCCATTACTTACATATGAAAATGCATGTTTCATCATTTTTATGTCAGCATAGTTCAGAGTGGTTGCCTATGTCTGCTTTAGAAACAGAAGAAAACCTGGAACACCATTAAGTAGTGGTTGTGTATCTTCCAAGAGCATTGCAGAATCTAGCCAGAATTCCTTCTCTTGCATAAGAACCCTCTGATATTCAGAGGAACATCTTTAATGGGGATTTCCCTCCTCCCTCCAGAGTTTCAAGCAATAAAGAACAGGAAGATTTTTCCATCGCTCATTGCTGAGAGAAAGGACAGTTAGGGGATGGAGCAGAACAAAAATGGTTAAGATGCATTGATCACAGAATTATAGTTATCTGAAGCCTGGAAACAGCAGGAATCTGTAAAGTAAAATTGCATTTGTTCATACTTTTACCTGCAGTAATTGGTATACGTGCCTTAATCCTTACTTCTCTGTGAAAATCTTTCACTAGCTTGTTAAAAGGTGACAAGGAAATCATGTTATCATTATGTGATAGATTGATTGACTTAAAGCAAATTTATGCTCAATCTAACCTTTTTGGAAAACAGGCACAAAAATAGTTATTACAAAAGGAGAATTATGAAAGCTTCTTTGATGTCTCCTGAACTTGAGAAGGAAATTTTTAAGCATATTAAATTGATTCTGTTTTCAGGATTTAATTTTAGAATGCCTTTAAAAAAATTTTGTTTCCCCTCTCAAATATGTGATGCTAAATTCCAAGATGACAATCTTGGAATTCGGTCTTTGATTTGATTATCCTGTGGTGGTGCCAATGAGTAGCATTTGTGCCCCTTGATATCCAGCAATTCATACCGTGAGCCTTAAAATATAAGTTTTTTTAAAAGTGGCATAAGAAGATTATGTGCTACTTATAAAGCAAAGCATCAGCCTTCGGCATCATCTTGAGTCAAAGAAATTCTGTGGGATTCTACAGAATCCCTCTGGGAAGGTAGCTTGGTTTCTGATAACTATATCTTTCATTTTGTATCTTGGTAAGTCTGCACTCATTTCTTGCTCTGAAGTTTTTAAATGTGTTTCCAGTACAAAAACAACAATTAACCTTGAATTATGCAGTTAACATAGACAACGATTACTACACAGCATTGTTTGGGAAAACGTTGCATTAACATAACAGTAATCTCAATAGCGGGTCTGCCAAAGTGGGACTTTCTTTTTATGAACAAACATCCAGATGTTTGAAGGCTGCAGTTCTTCTTCATAGGGATTTTGTTCTAACTTGGTTTCTTTGCAGTTGAGAAACTGAAAGGAAGACTGGCAGTTTGGCAATGGAGATGAAGTCCTTGCCATGGAGGCTGGTACCCAGTTTATTGTCCTCTTGAACTTCCTTAGTGGACTATATTTTGAGAGCTTGATTTTAAAAATGATATGTCTATAAGCTTTCTGTTGTGGGTAGTGCTATTTTGGCTACATAAGCAGTGAATCTTCAGTGTGACTGTCATTAAGAAAGAGGAGGATAATGGAAATGGCTAGTGAACCTGACCCATCTTCTACAAACATCCCAACTATTCTTCTTTTGATTATTTCAATCTGGTTTCATATATTGTATGTAATAATTGTTTCTTTGAGCTTACTTTGGGGCTGTAGTGGAGACATTGTATACTCTTTATTTTGTTTTTTTTAATTTTTTGCCGATATTAAATTGTTGTAAATTGGATGATTTATTGCCCATTTTATGCAATTTTATGGCAGAAACTTTTAGAGGACCAGAGACGACTTAAACGTGAGCAAGAAGAGGCTGATATTGCAGCCAGAAGGCACACAGGGGTCATTCCTACGCACCATCAGTTTATCACTAATGAGCGCTTTGGGGACCTTCTAATTAGAGACGATACAATCAAAAGGAAATCTGGGTCAGAGGTCTGTTGTGGTTGCCTCACTCTGCTGCTTGACCCAATTCATAGTTGCTTTTCATAGCATTCTGCTTTTTGGCCAACGTTAGCTGTCCCAAGTGTTGGTTTTGTTTTCACTTAGAATCTGCTTTGACCTTGTTCTACATAATCCTACAGAAAACTGCATATTTTAATGCATGTCTGCTAAGTAAGGAATACTTGTGCACAACTGTGATGCATGCCTCTTTTAAAACAGCAGTTACTTTTATTGCCAACCAGCAAACATTTGCTTCATCTTCTGCACTGTAGAGAATGCTTCCTTCTCTCTTTATCTGCGCCATCTGCTTAGACGTCTAATTGTCTTGTGGCTCCTGATCATGCAGTTTGGTTATGCACTGTGCACTCCATAACATTATTCTTTCTGTAGTTTTTATCGTTAAGAATCTTTAGGTCAGGCAAAATAAATGATCTCGTTTTAAAGAGGCAAAAGAAAGAACTTGCTCTGCAGGGAGTCATATGTTAAGAGAACAGATTAACTTGCTTTCACTGAAAGTAAAGGTGACAAGAAGCCATGTTTTACATTAAAATGTATTTATCTTTCTGGTGGGGAAAGCTATGTGAAATCCCTGTCTTTATTTCTTTCTGCCACTAATTCCAGGTGATCAGGAACAAATGATCATTCCTGGGTTCTGTAAAATGTATCAGGATGCTTCCATTGCACTCATAAAGATACAGTATTGTATGTTGCTTGGCTTCTCTGGGTCTACCAAGCTACCCACTACACATTTTAGAAGGCCATTTCATTCTAGGGATCACATTTGCAATTCAGACTGTTGCCTTCTGGAGTAGGATCATCAGAGTTCAATTTATCACTGCCTCTCCATTTAAGGAGAGTCTAACCATTCACTCAAAACACATTTAATTTACTTAGTAATGCCTACTTCTGTTTTTTTCTTTACTTTTCATAAAGGCTACACATTCTTCAACTGTGGTATTCATTTTGATTCTGCTGACTTTGCAAATTTACAAACTTGCTGAAAAGACTGAAGTCGTGCTCCCTTGAAAAGTCTAGCTCTCTTACTTTAGTAGTAGACGTACTAGGTCTATATGAAGGTTTAACCACTCTTAGTTGCTCAAGAATTGGGACTAGATTCATCACACATTTAAGAAAGGAAACTCTTGAAAGTGTGCTTGTAACGTTGTGTGTATCCTTTCAAATGATGTTCTGAAGATTTGGCAATTTTTTAAAAATTGTGCTATTTTCAACTACTAGATGAGAGCTGCCAGAGTGAAGTTTGACTTTAAAGCCCAGACATTAAAGTGAGTATTGGTTATTTCCCCCCTATATCTATAATATCATTATGTTTTAACAATTTCCTTTCTTCTGATAATTATTTAAGTATATACTCTTTTGCTGCCCTTTTGCACCTTCAATGCAGTCCAACACTGTTTACATTGCCAGCTATTCTGACCAAGGGAATGCATGCAACTGTCCATTGTGACCATTATTGCTCCAGCATTACTCTTCCACTGAAAGCCACAGCAGCTTTTCTGTCCCCTTTAATGCCTTATCATCGCCTGCCATCTTTGTACAGCTTCTATCCTTTCCATCATGTAATGCCATCATCGAGATGTTTGTTCCATTTGCCATCTCCATCTCTATCTCCACCTCCTTCTTTCTCCTAAAACCTTCTCCAGGTGAAATTTCAGTTCCATTTCTAATTCCTCCAGTTTCAAATCCATTACTTTAACGAACTTCTTCCACTTCTCTTCTGACCAAGTATCCATCCATTCACCATCCCAAGATCCGCCAGTCTTTAAATACTGCAAGTGCAATCAGTTCTTTAGAATTTGGGGGCAGATATTTATGTTTGTTTCTCCAGTTATGTTCCCCAGTTGTTAATATTTGTGTTTGAAATTTGATGTTAATGAGATTTTATTAAAATAATTAACACAATATTTGTATTTGAAATTTGATGTTAATGAGATTTTATTAAAATAATTAACACATGAATTAATATGTTATTTACAGGGAACTCCCATTACAGAAAGGTGATATTGTTTACATTTACAAGCAGGTTGATCAGAACTGGTATGAAGGCGAACATCATGGCCGAGTGGGCATCTTCCCACTATCTTACATAGAGGTACTGTTTTTTTTATTAAGTTACCCAAGGTGTCAGGACTGGTCTGACTAACACGAGATCAAAGCCATCTATCTTCTTTAAGATTTTTACATACACCTTTTGCTTTTGTTTTATAGTTACTTAACCCAACAGAAAAAATCCAAACTAAAAAAACATCACCACTGCAAATCTTGGAATATGGAAATGCAATTGCTAAATTCAGTTTCAGTGGAGATACTGCTGTGGAAATGTCCTTCAGGAAGGTAGAGATAGCAGTTATTGTAAATCATTTTGAAACATTTCTTTCTCATGCAATCTTCTGACATCAATCCAATTGTAAAGCATAGCAAATGGATGTTCTAAGCAGCAGATTGGAAATGTAAAAAGTTAAAAAAAGATATTTTGCACAGAGTTTTCTAAAAACGGAAGGTTTGAGGTTAATTGTCACATAATATGACATTTGTCCAATGCAACAAGTGTATTTGTTTTCACTTCTATAGTGTTAGTTTTGCATCTAAATGATAAAAAAATGCAATTATTGATGATACTAGAGATAGGCAAGAAACTAAATGCCAATTATTTGCATTTATTATAAATGTAATAACTAGTCTGAATTATTTTGCCAAAATGGGAAATATATGTATGTCTATCACTTCTTTCTCATTTTTAAAAAATTTGTATCTTTGTGAACTATGCATTATACTCTGAATATTTTAATTTTGGATCAAAAAGTTAAGCCATTTTCTTAGGCACTGTAAATGCAAGCCAGATCATTAAAAGCATTTAATAGAAAGGAGACATCAAATCCATTTTGACCGAGGTAGGCATTTCAGGCAAACCCAGAGCATCCGCTAAATACAGCCTTTATATGTAAGTAGCATGTTTCTTTTTTTAATCTACAGGGAGAAAGAATCACACTGATTCGACAAGTAGATGAGAACTGGTATGAAGGGAAAATCCTTGGCACCCATCGCCAAGGCATCTTCCCTGGCTCTTATGTGGACATACTTAAGCAACCAGTGCTGAAAGACACATCAGACTATGTTTACCGACCGCCAAATTGCAGCGTGGCTTCTCCACAGGTAACCTGTTTGTGTTGCTGTTCTTTGCAGAGCATCCAATAAGCTTTGTTAGTCTATTTCCTAGGGCAGGGTTCCCATCATTGCCTTCTGTCATTTTTAACCATGTCTTCTGGAACGACAAAGAATCTACATAGGTTAAAAATATCCCTTAGCAGAATTGAAGTGAGTGATTTCATCCAAAGCTGTCTCTGATTGTCCACATGGAATGCATAGATTCTCCTGTGTTGGCTGATTCCAGACACAGATTGTGATTAAAATATGGTTTCAGTAGGGAAACAAGAAAACAGGAATGTTCCTTAACTCGAGCATTTTAGGTCATGCAGGAAGAGAGAAAAGCCACCACCTTGCTGACTGTTAAAGAGTAAAACTGCTCGTCTAACGTGGCGGTGCCTCTGGCTGGGTTTGTCAAGGGATGTTTCATTAATGGTTGGATTAACCTTGGGTGAGAGGAAGGTTTGCAGGAGTGCTTAAGCTAATTGAGTCCCAAGAGAACAAATGTGCTTGTAATTCTGGACTGTGTTTGCAGAAAAGCAGAACTCCTGTGGGCTATGCTGGTGGATTTTCAATTAGAGAAGTAGATAAACACCCTCTTAATAAAACAAAGCCAGATGTTTAATAACATTCACCAAATCTCCTTATCCAAGTACCAAAACATCTGTTCATTTTGTCCCAGAACTATTTAAATATTGGAATACCTTCATTGTTGTTGTTTTTTACAAAGCCATTGTTTTATTTTTTATAAAGCTGAGATTAAAAAAAAATCTGAGAGCATCATTTTTGGAACCATATTTGTAGATATGGTGCAAATATGGTTTCAAAAATGATGGTGTCTGAATTTTTTTTCGTTATGAATTTTTTTCCGATTATGATTTTTTTTTTTAAACCAGTTCCAAGACTGGCCCAATGACTTCCAGGAACAAAGCCCAATTAGAAAATTTTGAATTAGATGGAGCCACATCTGGATGATGAAGCTCTTAAATTACAGCCAGTTTTCATTCTACTCCAAAAAAGATAATTGTTTTAATATTTCTAAGAGATTGAAGGATAACCAAGAGATGGAAATAGAATAATTACAATTCAGAGAATGAGTATAGGTCTCTCTCTCTCTCTCTCTCTCTCTCTGTGTGTGTGTGTGTGTGTGTGTGTGTGTGTGTGTGTGTGTGTACATGACCTTCCAAAGCAGTGGTTGCCAACCGGTGGGCCGGGGACCACTGGTGGTCCATGAGAAAATTTTTACATACATTTATATTGTCCATATTACCACTCTCCAAGTAGTATATGAAAAGTTGCATAAAACATACCATTCAATTAAACATCTCCCCCAAAACACATAGAAAAAGGAAATGGCAACAGGCTCAAAAACTTTCTAGAATAGCCTTGTTTCTTTAGCTTTGCCAAGGGGACAAAGGGGACAGGCAGGCAGGCAGGCAGAGCCCTGGGGGTGGGGTGAGTCATGTTCAGATAGGCTTACAGCAACAAGGTGAATTTGTTATCATTAGTAGAATTGGTATTAAAGATGGGAAAATGGATGGAGACACAGGAATGTTGCTAGAAGGCTAGTAGCTAACGTGGTATGTTGCAGAATGTCAAAAGAAACAGAATCCAAGGGTTAGAAAGGCTCTTGGCCATGTTTTAGTCCACCTCCCCAGGACAGGAACCCCTTGCAAACACCATTGGGGGTAGGTTTGAATACAAATGCCAGCAACTGCTGTGAGAGTTAACAAGGAGAAACTGAATTGCAAAGAAAATACACGAAGGAAGAGTGAATGCACCAAGAGGAAAAAGAGGACAGCTGGACAAAGTGAGGTGTTGAGACAGAGAGCACTGAGAAGGTTGAAGAAGAAAATGGCAGGATGAAAGCAAAAATGGTTTGCAACATCAGGGAGTTATCAAGAAGCCTGATGTTGTTTTCATTAATCTGAGCTGTGCTTTCTTTTCTTTTTGTTGCCATCTGTCTTTTATTCACCATCCTGGGCATGGGGGAGGGAGAGAGAAGGGGGCACATGTATCCCAGTTTTGTGGTGCAAATTCCACTCCTTTTATACAACTGACACTAATGCTTGGTGCTTATTCTTTATCTGTGTTGTAACTTTGCTTGCTCTCCCTCTTTCTTATTAGTTTTCTTATTTGTGAGAATTAATGCCTTGGAATTCCAATGACTCAGGAGGACTTTGTCCGCAGGCCCCTCAGCAAATAGCATTACAATTCACATCTTGCCTGTGTATTTTCAAAGGAGAGATGTTTAAATTTATTTATCTTTTAATTCACAAACATTAACCTAGATTCCATAAACTTGACTATGTGGAAGTAGTACTTTACTTTGTTATACCTGTACTCACACTGAAGGCCCCACTACTTTTGGTGATGAGTGTAGGTTGCAAGATGCTCTAAATTTGGAAGTCTGATAAAATTACAGGGGTTAACATGTAAAATTACATGCTAAATCAATCAATCAATCATTAAAATGGTCCATAGTACCAACTGGGGTCATAGGGAATAGGAGACATCCTCTTCCTGCTAAGGGACCTCAAATGTTGTGTTAATGTGCCTCTTGTGTCATCTTCCCTGTCTCTGCATCCAGCCCTGTTATTTCAATTACCTATCTAAAGTTGGAAATCTGATGTTGTGCTGTTTGTAAGATTTGAATCTGTTAATGGTGCCGGTGCTAAAATTTTCCCTTCTCATGTACTTTAACAATTAAACAGCCTTCACTGAGGTCAGGACCCGAACTCACAGAATCGGAAAAGAACTATGTGGTAAGGTCACCCCAGAGTCCTGTCTGCAGCCTCATTTGCACACAGTTCTTCTCTGAGCCCTCTACAATGGCCAGCACTACTGAGCTGAGCAAGGTTTTGAGTGTGTGTTTGTCAGCTGTGCACAAGGGTTTCCATGTGTCCAGGTCTTTAGACTGTTTTTACAAACACAGATGACAGTACAATTAGAAATGGAGAAATCCAATTAGTTGTCCTTATAAGCCCCACTTTTGTAGAAGCCACAACTGGGGTTTGAATTTCTATCATTTGGTGGCTCAGTGAATGCAGAGTCTCTCTCAAAGTTGGCTATGAATAAAGAAAAAGTGCAGCCTGAGAGATATTGCATTGTTAGGGAACTTAAATTGCATGTCAGAGGCAAAATTTCATACCCAGATTTGGATTTTTTTTAAATGTGAGATGCTTCCTGCCTAATTGCAATCTCTTTTGCTGCTATGTTATGAAATTTAAAACTAAATACTCAATTCTTCTGTATCTTGCCTGTTTCTCTATGCTTACAACCTGGATTTCTTCTACACATTCCTACTGGGATTATATTTCTGGATCTACCATTCTGTTGTCTGGCTGGACATGCTAAATGCTTCCTCTGGACTTTCCCATGTCGTCTTGACTTGCTCACATTTCCTGTTGTCTTCATTCTGTTCTCACCCGGGATGGCTATTATGTCCTATCACTGTTATCCAGGAAGTGGTTTGCAATGAGATCTTAAACATTGCTGAAAAATCTGTTCATTACTGCAGCACTCTTTCTCAGCCTGTCTTTTGTCATAAGGGGCCGTTTAGTGACAATAAATCATCTTTCATCATTTCTCAGCAACCACAAGTCCTGCCATTAGAAACTGGCCTGGACCGGAGTCATGCCACACGAGAAATGTAAGTTTGCCTGGACTGCAGATTTGGTGGATTATTTTCATTTTTTAAAGAATAAAGTTCCTGGTCAAGGAATTTGGGGTTATGTTAATTTTATATTGCAGTTTGAGCAATGTAGTTAGTTGTCCCCTATCATAATATCCCAGTTCTAGGAAAGTTTTAGTATCCATTTTTTCCCAGAAAAACATCCTGCAATTGTTGATGTAGCCACTCACCGCTGCTGGTGATGACATTAAAAGATCTTCCCTTTCTTGTTGAGAATCTTAGATAACTTAGAAAAACCACAATCTTGCTTTGAGGTCACACTGGCAGACCACAGGATGAGTTTTACATAGTCACTGTATATACATGTAAAAATGAAAGGCCATTTAGAATAGTTTTTAGTGTGTTTTGTGCCTTACTACCTCTTTTGCTCTGTACTTGAAGCAGCATGGTTGGAAAGACTTGATGGTTGCCATCTCCCCCCCCCCCCCCCCTATCATGAACCTTCAGGTTTACCTATCGAGCACTTTATAGCTACATCCCACAGAATGATGATGAACTGGAGTTAAGAGATGGAGATGTCATAGATGTTATGGAAAAGTGTGATGATGGCTGGTTTGTTGGTAAGCAAAATTTGCCAGCATTTGGCTGTGCATTCCAATCAATACACATGACATTTAACTGGGATATTATCGCTGTCTTGGGAAGCTACAACATTGTGACAGAGGGTAAAAAGGGGATTTACAGAGAGAGATATTTGAAGGTGGAAGTATGTCCCTACTTCAGAATGTATCTGATTAAGTCATTAGTGAAATTATTTAAAACATTATCAGGGAAATTTTGTTCAATCTTAACTATTTGAAGTGTAGGGGTGTCCACATAGGGGAGCTTAAGAAAGTCAAGATGGTGACCCCAACCACATGATCTAAGACTTGGCAACCTTGATATATATATATTATTCACTTCCCCTTAATAGAAGTATAGATTTTCAAGAAATAAGCACACAGGTAGTCCTCAACTGACTGCGATAAAGGAGCCTGCCCATAATTGACAGCTGTTAAGCAAAGGGCCCATGTGACTGCCTTTTGCCTCACGACCCCCCCCCCATCCCTGCTCTTCCTGATGTGGTTATTAAATGAACATGGGGCTGGTTAAGTGAGCCCTCAGGTCTAGGGCACGGACTCTCCCAACCCTCGGAGTTTTCATAGGCACGGACTGCTTCCCATCCCACCGGCCCCATGCCCTCATCCTCCTCACCCCATGTGTCAGTTCCGTGTATCTGCCATTCTTCGATGGAAGAAAGGGGGGGATTTGGATTTGATACATTTAATTCTTTTCCTCTCTCTGTTTCTTAAATATCCTATTTCTTATATTGTGTTTTGTATAAACTTTTACATGTTTATAACCATTGTCGGGTGCCCCAGAAGCCTGGAAAATTCTCACCTCTTGGGGAGATGCAAGGGGAGAAGGGGACATGTGGATTGCAACACCGGAAGATAGCCCTGGGAAACTTTCCTTATCTGCTTTCTCAGAGACACTGGTATAATAACATCTTCACACCTACGGATTGGTGGGATCCACATCGGACTGTTGGGAGCGGTCTCTAATTCTCTTTATCCTAGTAACATGCCCTGAGGGACCTCAGATCCTGCTTTGAATTTTGACGTGCTTTTACCTCCCTTCAATAAAAAGATTCCTTTTGAAATACAAAGTTTTCAACATTCTATACTTATTTTTGAAGAGCAGAGAAGCTCGTCCTTACACCATGTCACCAATGCACACTTCTTGAAGTTCTTCAGAACTCGGGGAAGGAGGGCAAATTGATCCATTCCTAGATCATGTGGTAGCGACCATTTTCTGGGTGGCTGCATTGTAAATGGCAGTCACTTTTGGAATTGTGTCCCACTGCCCAGGAATGGAGCAGCCTTCCTTCCTTCCCTAATGTGAACTCTGGAGATCTTCAAAAGGTGAGGAGGAGGGAATTGATGTGGTGGAAACGGGTCCAAAGGCTGTAACTTTGGTTGCTAAGGGATTAGTTGCAAGTTGAGGACTACCTGTATAACATAGCAAGTACATATTTTTAATTTCTATATTTTTATCATTTTATTAGGCACAAAACAAACTGATGAAATCATTAGATGTCAGTTCAGTTAATCAAGATCATTGATGACAAGCAAGCTAAAGTATCACCAGTTTAAAATAACTCCCCTAGGGATCGCACTGTGATTGGTCTTATCTGGATTTTCTGCTTTTTATTCCACAATAGGCACATCAAGGAGAACCCAACAGTTTGGGACTTTCCCAGGAAACTATGTGAAACTACTATCCCTTTAGAAGCTATGGGCAACCTCTTCATTTCATCTGGAGGAGGACCTTTTAAAAACAATCCTTGGGAAAGAGAAGTTTTGAATGGAATAGTCAAGACAGTAGGAGTGCACATGGAACGTGGTGAAATGCTGGAGTTATGCTGCAAACTTCTTGCTTCCTCTGAACGTGTATGGAGGAGAGGAGACAGGATGATAAGCTGTGTTTGTTTCTGTTTTTATTCAGCTACAGGAAAATAACAGAAGAAAACAAAACAGGGTTTCTGCTGGACAGATGAAGAAAAGGAAAGAGATTGCCAGGAGCAGAGGGTGTAGACTGCTTAAACATCCTGCAGCTTTTGTTTGCTCTTTATAGGAAAGGCCAAGTTGTCAGCATTCATGGAGCTCCTCCTCTCCTAAGGACATAAATCCCAGAAAGAATTGTAGTCCAGAAACATCTGGAAGGTTAGGCCTGCCCACACTTGTTCTAGTGCTTGACAGATTCCAGACTGAATGGTTGGAACAAAGGAAGATGGAATAGATGTTCTGCCATATTCTATTTGGATTTATTCTGCAAATATTCCTGAACGTGCCTTTCTAGAACTGATAATCTATGTAATTTCTGGCTGCATCTTTTTTTTTTTTAATAAAGTAGAAATTCGGTCAAACTTATACTGTGCACACTTGATTGGGAGTAAACTTCACTGAATTGATTAGTTTTCCATTACTGGATTTTATTTCTGCTTTTATAGTCATTTTGATTGTGAATTGCATAATGATACACTAAAATAAACCTTGTTTCTGCTGTGTTTTTTTATAGTTTACCCTCAATAGGAGATTCAAATTCAGCATACTTTCTTTCTCTTACACATTAGTCTCCAGAACAAATGTATTTAGTTTTCTTCATCCCAAGATCAGCCAAAAACATCAACTGAAGTGCTTTAATAATACGATTGTAGATATGTATATTCCCTTTGTAAAAACATATAAATCCTATATTGCAAATTGAAATATAAAACCGAGTCTTCTAAAAGCAGTTTGAGGAGGACGCTTCCATTTTATTTATTATCACACTAAATAAATTAGTACTTGTGCTACAAAACGCTATTTTTCAACAGAGTTAACATCACTGCTTCAATTGCACTAAAATGGCTTAGTGTGTTAAGCAGCTTTGTGCTCAAGCTTCTAGAATCCCATCCATTTCTATAGGCTTGAAGCAGCTATAGGCAGCCTTAATGGGGAGTTTTGAGACCACTCAGACAGGCTGCCATGGGAAGGTTTGTCATTTCCCAAAATACATGTAGATGGCACGGCTAATAAAACACCCCTTTATTACAAAGTGAACAAGCACTTCGGGGTTGTCAACCTCCTAGTAGGGGTGCAAAGACATTGCTATATATATATATATCAAAATTCCTATTTATTTTATTTAGTAATATATTAAAAAAGAGGTATAGTCAACCCTGTTTTAAGGGATATTTGAATATTTTTATTTTAGGATTGGCAGTAAAGTTACAGAATTGAACAATTTAATTTTGCAAATATCTTAATATTGGTAGCATGTAACTATCACAATAGCATTTTTAATTACTATATATTTATATTTCTGCTGACATAATTCTAAACAAAAAGTTATTGTCTGTTTTATTTTACAGAGGATTATTTACAGTTAACAAATGGAAATGTTTGAAGCATGTTTCTTTGTGTAAAATATTAAATAAATATTAACCCAACATGAAATGGTAGTCTGCCTGGTTTCCTTAAATGTTATTTGAGAGATTGTCCCAATCTGATGAATATTTCTGAATGTGATTTGGAGCAGCCTGGAAAGAGTTCAAGTCTCTCTCTAAAGCTTGCCATGTTGAAGAGGTGAGCAGATTTGTTGAGAGAGTAAATTAAGAACAGCCACATGTTTCTTCCAATCAACCATGCCTGCCTCGGGGATTTCCTACATCATTTTCCCAGGAGTGCAGGTCAAGAAGAGTGCTCAGCTTGGGTGCAAGAGGAGCTGCACAGTTGGGGAGAATGTGCAATACTAGGGGTGCACAAAAGGTGGCATGGAAGCTAAAAACCACTGGAGTAGAATTCATAAATGGATAGAGGAAATAATGCGGGGGGGGGGGGGGGAGAGGGGGGGAGGAGAAATGAATTCAGACCAGAATTGTTTATATTAGGAATATTAAGGGGAGACTATACCAAGACAGATGTGTATATATTTTACATATAATAACAGCAACCAGGATTGTGTATGCACAGTACTGGAAACAGGAAACTATACCCTCAGGGGACAACAGTATGTTCTGACCCAGACCCTTTTCCAGTAAACATGAACCAAAGGGAACAGAAACCTTTTAATGATGCTTACAAATCCCTGGTTAAAAGGCTGCTGCAAACTAACTTTGATAAACACAAGCCTCGCCCAAACTGCAAGACTGCCAAGAATCACAGATAAGAAATATTTCACAACACAAGAGTCTTCAAATACCAACTACAGGTGAAACTCGAAAAATTAGAATATTGTGCAAAAAGTTCATTTATTTCATGCAATTTAAAAGGTGAAACTAATATATGAGATAAACTCATTACATGCAAAGCAAGATAGTTCAAGCCGTGATTTGTCATAATTGTGATGATTATGGTTTACAGCTCATGAAAACCCCAAATCCACAATCTCAGAAAATTAGAATATTACATGCAATCAATAAAGGATTGTACATCGAACAATATCGGACCTCTGAAAAGTATAAGCATTCATATGTACTTGGTTTGGGACCCTTTTGCAGCAATTACTGCCTCAATGCGGCGTGGCATGGAAGCTATCAGCCTGTGGCATTGCTGAGGTATTATGGAAGACCAGGATGCTTCAATAGCGGCCTTCAGCTCTTCTGCATTGTTCGGTCTCATGTCTCTCATCTTTCTCTTGGCAATGCCCCATAGATTCTCTATGGGGTTCAGGTCAGGCGAGTTTGCTGGCCAATCAAGCACAGTAATCCCATGGTCATTGAACCAGGTTTTGGTGCTTTTGGCAGTGTGGGCAGGTGCCTGCTGGAAAATGAAGTCAGCATCCCCATAAAGCTCGTCTGCGGAAGGAAGCATGAAGTGCTCCAAAATCTCCTGGTAGAAGTACTCCAAAATCTCCTGGTTGACCCTGGACATAATGAAGCACAGTGGACCAACACTAGCAGATGACATGGCTCCCCAAATCAACACAGACTGTGGAAACTTCACACTGGACTTCAAGTATCTTGCAGTGTGTGCCTCTCCATTCTTCCTCCAGACTCTGGGTCCTTGGTTTCCAAATGAGATGCAAAAGTTGCTCTCATCAGAAAAGAGGACTTTGGGGAGGGAGGAGCTGACGTTGCGACGATACGGCATGCAATCTTGGAGGTCTGAGATCGCTGCCAATATCTTTGCTCCTGGATGGTCCAAACAGATCTAAATCATCCCGAAGAGATGGTGAATGTAAAGAGCGCATTCTGTCGATTCCAGGGATACCGCAAAGTCCCTGGTAGACCCAGGAGAAGCTCTTTTTGCCAGCGGCAAAGAGGCAGCCATTAAAGCTGCTGAAGTTGGGACAGCTCCGAAACGGAAGAGGATAGAAAGAGAAAGTGCTGGTTTGGTGAGAATTTTTTCTTTACCTTAAGATTTAAAAGGACACCCTAAGGAAAAGAAAGAATCTGTAAAATCTCAGAAGTAATTAAGTGGCGATTTTTAAACGGGAAGTCAAATTATTTTTTTCTTTTTTTTTCCTGGACTCTTTGTGTATGATTTTTTACTTTGAACTGGACCGGGTTTTTTTTTCTATCTTATTTTTCTTTTTTGTCTCTTCTCCTTTTTGTCTTTACAATATTTTAGGCTAGAGATCACCTTTTAGCCTTTTTTTCCCCTAAACCCTTTTTCCTTTTTAATTAACTTTTTTATAATAATTTGTTTGGAAAAGGAGGGGGAAAGTGAAAACAGAGGAAACTTGGTCACACTGCCAACTAGAGGCTTAGAAATATTGTTTCTCTTTTTCTCTCTCTCGACCAGACAAAGCTGAGAAAGAATTCAGACTTCTTTTCAAGGACTCTGAGCCTGTCTGATAAGATAGAGGGAAGAGCATGGGAGAGTGTTATTGCAGGTGCTCTTCTGGGTTTCTATCAGTAGCTGGAGTCTGGTGTTGAAATATACAGAAAAAAGATGGTAAGATACTAGAGAAGAGAGCTATAAAAATTAACAAAAGCCTTGGATAACTAAATAAGTGCAGTGTGTTCTTTTTCTCTTTTTAAAGTTGGGCTATTCCTCACACCCCCTCCTTATCAGCTTATTATTTGTAATAGTTATTTGGATCTCTGGACTTTTGAAACCTGCTTTTGTCTTTCTTTTTGCTTTTGGAGCCTTATTTTTACTTTTGCATTTTATTTTAAAGGAAAAGTCTTAGTATTAATGTTTTCCTTCTTCTTCTTCTTTTTTTTTTAAGGGAGTAGGCTTTTTCTTTTTTCTCTCTCTCCCTCTCCTGCATTTTTTATTTACCTTCCATATTGGGTTTTTTTTGTGGCTTCCTTTTTTTTGTATACTTTTTCATACCTAAGACTTTTTAATTGGATGAAGGTGTTGAAGAACCTGAAGAAATTCTTTTTTCTTTTTTCTTTTTTTCTTTTTCTTTTTCTGCCTTCTACAAGATTTAACAATTTTTTCCTTTCTCTGTTTATGGTTTTTTTTCTTCCTTTTTTGAGCTTTTACTGCTATTTAACTAATTGATTGGATTAAGGTATACAAGAACCTGAAGAAATCTTTTTTTTTCTATCTTGCTTCTTTTTTTCCACTATTTTTACTTGGATTTACAATTGGTTATTTCACAAGTGGCTTAAGGTCTAGAAGAATCTGAACATTTTGAATTCTCTGAAATGAGCAGGAAACTAACAGCGGCTGGTTCTTCAATTCCTACTCCTTCCTCTTCACCATCTGGAGGACAACGCTCAATACAGACGATGTTACAACAAGAAAAACAGGAAAAGGTGACATTGCAGATGATAATGCAAGGAATTCAAAGCATACAAGCAAGAACATTGAAAGGAGAATAGAAAAAAACTGATGAAAAGGTGGAGAATATTCAACAAATGATGATGAAGTATGATGAAAAATTCAAAAAAAATGAAGAAGAAAATAAACAAAGAGATAAGAAGATTGGAGATATTGATGGCAGACTAACAGTAGTTGAACAAGATAAAAGTGGGATCCTGAGATGGGAGATAGATAGATCAGAATTTTATCTCAGATTCCAAAACATAGAGGAAGAAAAGGGACAAAACTTAGCTGAGATAATGATAGAAATTTTGGCTGAAGCTTTGGAAATAACCAAAGAGAAGATGATGGATGGAATAGACAAGGTTTTTCGAGTCTTCACAAGATATGCAATGAGAAATAGCTTACCAAGAGTAGTTCACATCAGATTTACAAAGAAAGCCATTAAAACACAAATATTGCAGGTGGCAAGAGAGAAAACATTGAAATACAAAGATAAGGAGATTATGGTCCTGAAACAAGTGCCCAGAAGAGTGAGAGAGATGAGAAGAGAATACCAATTTCTGACTAAAATTCTACTTAAAAAAGAGGTGAATGATAGATGGTTGATACCAGAAGGTTTAATGTTCACATG